CGGCCACGCCTGCGGGGGAAAAAAAAAAAAAAAAAAGAAGGAAAAAAAAGGAAAAACTGAGTGCCTGAGGCCGGAATGCTGAGTCCCTGAGTCCCTGAGGCCAGGGGCCTAGGGGTCCTTCACTGTGAAACTTGGCAAAACGCGGTATTTTTGCTGGCAAACTACGGGAAGCCAATAAAGCTGCAACGAAACCTCTATTTTTGCAAAGGAAACTTCGAAGGGACGAAATTTTTGCTGCCAAACTTCGAAATAGCAATATTTTTGAACTTAGGGTCTCGTTAGACACTCCTAAAAGTGCCTGTTTTAAGGATTGCGTCTTGGTTGCACGCAATCCTAAATCCAATTTTGAGATCGAAAATCTGAAAACGGCGTTAGGACGAGTCCTAAAGGATCTAGGATTCCCAACGCAAAATCGTCCTAAATTTTCCAGTAGCCCCCAACCTACTGAAAAATTTAGGATTCCCACGTTTCACGGACTCGTTGCGTCGCGCGCATAGCACCGTCGACACGGAGTTGCTGGTGCAGAAGCGGTCCGTCGGGTCAGTGGTCGGACATCGGAGATTTTCTACGGATCGACGTGGGCAACTGCCACGAACGGTAGCCGTTGGCGGGGTGGAGCACGGGGGCCTGAGCAGGGGCGGGCGGGCGTCCCTCGTGGATCGTTGGTTGGGTTACGGCGTGTGCAGGACGACATACCGAGGCGCTTCGCGCAGTGGCTGGGTGCCAATGGTCGATTTTTGAATCGAAGGCATCCACATTTGTCGTCTTTCCTAGTGGTTGTCGACATATGAAGGTCCAGCGGCCCTATCCACCGGCATGTGGGACGACACTTCTGCAGTAGTCGCATGGACGGATGCCTTCCGAGGTGAAATTGGTGGCAGACGCGCAGAGGAGATGCCTCTGCTGGTACTCGCGGTCGTCGTCTTCCTCATTGTCGCCTTCCTCCATGTGTGTTTGTCGTGCTGGCCGTGGAAGCAATCTCGCAAACGGAGGACGTCAACGAAACGGGCGGCATGGGAACGTTCGATGGCGAGTATGAAGGCACGCATAGAACTGGCCGCAGGTCAGGGCAGAAGAGGACCTGCATTGGCGGTGCTGGGATGA